AGGTGATCTGTCTCCCCCCTCCCCCCCTGTTTAAGCAAGGTGAAACATTGTCCTCAACTTTTCAAATGTTATTCTAGTTATGTCACACTATTCTAGTCTGTTTTGTGCCTGCTTGACTTAGTCATACTCATGGAGAGAGACAAGACCATGCAGCATTGATTTACCACCTACTATGGCCAGAGGGCACAGCCAGGTGCTGGAGCACTGCCAAGGGGAACAAAGCATGGCAGTCACTCTTGGGGAGCTCAGGGTGGTACATAGCAGAGCATCACACTTTTAGGAAGGTAGAAAGCAGATGTCCTCAAGGAGTTAGAGCAAAGGGGAATGCTGTTCAGCTAAGGGAAACTTCTAGGTTTTAAGGAGCTGGGCCTTGAAAAGATGGTAGAATTTAGAGAAGAGGGCTAAAAGAAAAGGAACTGCAGTAGAGACGACACATTTCTGAGGTCCTGAAATCAGCACACTGGTCAGTAAACTTTGCTAGGATTATATAAAATTATTCTAATATATCCTCCTTAAGGAAATGGAAAGAAATTGTCCCAAAGAAGACAGACTAAAAGATATAAAGCTAATTTTCCCATTGACGAAACATTTATTGGATGTAAAATACTTGCCAGTTACTGTGCTAGGTATTGGGTATAAGAAGCTATGAATAACTTTGAACAAATTTATAGAAGAGTTTAAAAATTGGACCCTCTCTTCAATTTATGGTAAAATGTCTGATCCACAGAACTATGTTATCATATACATCTTTCTAGGCATTCAAAGAATTCTGCAAAGAATTCTATTGTATGTTATTTTCAGGGAAAATCCATAATGAGACAACAAAGAACAGTTACATGCATATGGACACGTACATTATACAATCTCATTCAGTAAGGCAGATTTTATTACACAATAGTATAGACACAGAATGCTATTCATTCTGAAAGAATCAGATCGCCCGGGTTGTCATACCTAAAGCACTGAGGAACATCTCTTGGCCCCAGGACCTCAACCTATGCTTTCTTCACCTTGCACCTGCTGCCAGGCCATTCATAGAATTTTTCCCAGGTGTCTTTCTTTGTCCTTCCTCCTATCTCCCAGATTCCATTTTATCATCATTGTCCCCACCACTGTGCTGTACCTTTATTGCTTTATCTGAATGGTCTACCTAAAGCATGTACACAACTTTTAGCTCAACCAAAGGCAACTATGGCAACACAGTTGTTAGGCCATCTATGCAGTTGAGATGCAAGTATTTATTCTTAAAAAAAAAGAAAAAGAAAAAGAAATGTTAGAAGTCAGTGAAAAGTAAAGGACACTATAAATGGAGAGGAAATGTAGGTATTTCCATGTGATTATCACCAACTTTTATAAGTGTATTTCCATAGTTATTTTTCTGATTACTCAAAATTCTAGTATAGTTGATAAAAGGATCTTAAGAACACGTTTCAAACATGTCACAATATGCCAAAAACGTACAGGTATTCACACAGACACACAAAGGAAAAAGAAGATATGAGTGCCCATCAAAGGGGAAAAAAATAAGAAAGATGATGACAATTATACAAATATGAACATAGTACTGACATGTTGACCAGGGATAATTATAGAGCAGTAGAATCCATGAAAACGGAATGTTCCAATAGATAATAATGTCCGTTTTTTTTCTCCTGAAATTTATAAGCTACAACTCCATATATTTTTTGCCCACAGCAAATACTAAAATCTTTTCAAGTTTCGCTGCTTAAATGCAATACACTAGATTATATGCAAAAACAAAATAAAACAAAAAACCGAAGTCATTTCCAAACTGATGGGAAATAATTTATTGAGAAGATTGAACTTTAAAAATCATTTGAAGTTCATAATTTTACAACTGAAAAAGTTGGTCGTACAAACAATTTTTCCTAGGATATTTAGAAATTTTTCATTATATTTTAAGGGAAGACCAAGAAAATACCTTGGAAATGCCTGGGAATGGGGGAAGAATGCATTAAAAATGCACTGCTTTTTATTATGCTATTTCTGTTAAAATGATAGTTTTTTCATGGTAATTACTCAACAAAGATAACATTTACATACACATATAAATCAAGTTTAAAATAAGTGTAACTGATTTCACAGTTATCAAATCAATACACAGGAGAGGTTTACAGACAAAAAGTATACATTTACATGGACCTCTAATTAAAATCATTGTGTAGTAGATAACAGCAAACCTTATTTCTGAGTTTCTGGAAAATGTATTTTATAAATTGAAATAAGTAATATAGTTCAGAGATAATTTAGAATTAGATATATATTATATAATTGCTAATTTTAAATAAATTACTAATTTCTTAAACAAGGTTATAAATTATAAATCAGAATTTAAAATTTTATTTTTACCTTAGTGAAAACCAAAATTTACAGATATTTGTTATAAAATATTTCCATCTCTTCTGTTACACTAAGAAAATTTTTAGTGTAAGCTACAACATCATTTTAGAGACAGGTTCATGAGTTCTAATTTTTTAAAACTTGTAAAATGATTTGTAATTTTAGACTCATCTGATATGCAGTGTGAAAATATTGGTGCAAATAATTATTTATTCTTGAGTGCTATGTTTTCATTGAAGTTTCCTAAACAAAGGAGTCGGAATTTGGTTCACAGTTTATAAACTTTGCACAAATTTTGTTATGATAACCTGTTACCCACAGAGGAAGTTATCCATAAACAAAAACAATCAGGTATTTGCTAATTTTATAAAATCCATTGTAAAACTTCCTGGTCTGAATCTTTAAGCAACCAGATGTTAATGTGAACCATAACCAGGGAGAGTGAACAATTAACAACATCAGAGAAAGTAGGTGACATAAAGAGAGTTAACACTCAGTATTAACATATGTAATTAAATAAAGTTTCATTTTTTACATTGACCAACTAATCTAGTAAACTAAATTTTGGAATTCTTAATCCATCTAAGGTTGCTGTCAAATTTAGTAATTAAAAATGCAATGCAGTGTATAAAATATATTTTTCTGTTAATTTTAAAGCTATTTACAGCTTAATAGTTTTAAAACAAATTATTTACTCAAATAAATTCTCACAATCATTTGCTGGTTCCTATGGCTATCTATTAACAATTATTTCTGAATTACATAAATGTGTTGATCACCAGCAAGTAAATCTTGTTTTAAAAAACATTAATAAATGAGAACAATAATCAAAATGGAGGATTCCCACTCATGTCTCTGGTGTAAAGTTTAACTAATGATTTGTAGTGATCCAATATTTTATATAAATATTTTATGTAATACAAAATTCAACAATTTGCTTTCTTAAGTCTAGAGGGCATATGAGATTATAGATATCTTTAAAACTACAAATTTTGTTCAGAAATTGGATTTTATTTTAGAAGATACATTCCTAAACACAAAATGTATTTTGTGAATTATCTTAAGCATAAGGAAACACACTTATTCATTTTTATTATTTAAGAAAAAAATTCTTATAATACATTGCAAAATATTTGCTAATGTAAATGCAACAATTTTTATTTACCTAACCTGTTACTTCACACTGTAGTTAGAATCAATTTTATAAAGGTAAAATTTTGATCTAGTGTGAAATTAGCAATATAGTTTAATTCAAAAAGTCAAAAGATTTATAGAGGTAATATTTCTAATTCAAAAAGAATTTTGCTGGGTTTTAATTTTTCCACAGAACACTGAAATAAATAATTTTTAAAGCTTTGTTTTAAGATGTTTTAAAGGTTTCAAGTATTCTACAGATAAAGATTTTGGACAACACTGAATTCTTTTTGTTTTTAAAGTTATTTTAAGTTTTGTTTTACTCCATGGTAGAAGTATTGAATACATTTTTTCCCCCCTCTAAAATCTCATTTTCACCTGAAATAATTGCATTCAGGTTTTCTCAGCAGGTAAAGTATACATTCTTACAAGGTTTCAAATTTCAGAATTCCAATAATGCATTTAAACCGAGCACCTACTGAATCACGTTCTCTATTGTGTGTGTGTGTATGTGTGTGTGTGTGTGTGTGATCTTGTAGTTCTGTTATTTACATTGAATTTTAGTGTTTTAGCTCCTCAGAAATACCTTAGTAAACCCTCAGCATTTGCTAACCACGTAATAATTGTGAACCGGCCAGTCCCTTCAAGTAGATCGTTAACCACAAGGGTGCCTGACAATTTCCAAATCATACCCTCTGTCCAAAAGGAAAAGATAGGGCTTTGTGAGGCCGAAAGGAAGCGGAGGAAAACAAAACAAATGTAGCTCATGCTGAAAGTGAAAAGTGCTTGGACAGATTAGTATTTTCTTTTCTGCAAGGCGTTCTGCCAACTTTTTTTTTTTAATAGAGAAGAATTATTTTTCGGTCTGATTTTTCAGTTTCTTGGAAAGTGTGGGTATTTCCCATCCCCACCGGCCCCTCATAATTATTGTCGGTTGTTTTGTTTTTTCCCCCATCAGTCTACTTCTCAAACTGCTGATACCCCCGCCTCACTCCGTTAAAACCCCAACTCTGGGCGACCCTGGGTTTGGAAACTCCGCCGACTCCCGACGACACATCCTTCTCTCCCTCTCACGCTTCTTATTTTAGTCGCAAGAGTCTCCCACTCCAGTTGCAGCGAAAGCCGGAAATTTTCATTTAACTCCCCCCACCCCACCCCCGCTCTCTTCTCCTCGCCCCCCACTTGGAGCCGAGAGCTGGGGAGCTGGGAGGCTCAGAGCACCGCCGGGTCCGGCCGCCTCCTCTTCTCTCCGGAAGGCTTTAATTTGCACACTTGCTCGCCACTGCGCCGCGAGCCCCCAACCCCGCCGCCCAGTGGGTCTCGGGCAGAGCTGGCCTCCCAAACCTCCGCCCCCGCCCTTGCTGCCTCCCCGGCTCGGGCCCCGAGCCCGGGCCGGAGCCCCACGGCCCCCGTCCGCCCCCAGCAAGCCGCGCGGGCGGCGCCCTCCTCCGTCCCTCCGCCCTCCGCCGCTGTGCCCACCCCCTAGCCGGAGAGAGTGCTGGTGACTCCTTCCTCCGAGCTTGGTTACCTGCTCCGCGCCGCCCTGGAACACGTGCGGAGGTCGGACTGACACTCGCAGCCCCCTTGGGAGGCCACATGCGGCTGGGTCCCTCAGGTGAGGATCTGGGCGTTCGGGTGGGTGGGCTGCGGGGTGGGGGAGGGGGTTCCCGGGGGGGATATGAGGGCTTGACTAGGGTCGGAAGCGAGGGTGTGGGTATGGGTGATTGTTGGGGTGGGGGGGTATGTCCTCTGAATCCACTTTGATTAACCCCTTACGAACCGAGGCGGTAGTTACGGGGGCCAGTTTGGGGGAGCTAAAGGAGCCTCTCCTAATCTGGCTAGAGAAGGACATCATACACTAGGGACACCCCCCAACTCTGAGATCCTGTGCCTGCTCCCACATAGCCGTGCGCAAAAACACCCACACAAACACTCCTTATCCAGTTTCTTCAAACGGAATTTAACTCCACTGGGACAGTCATACAATAATCCACATTTAGGGTTGAAAACGCACTGTCTCTGGGGACTCCGTGCGGGAGAATGTGTTTCCGTGCCCCATATTGATTTCCCCACGAGAGCTCCCTCTCCAGCTCGCTGAGGTGTGGATGTGGGCTCCACCTTCCCACCACGAGGTAAATGTTAAAGCAGGCGTCTTGCTGGCAACCCCTGAGGGCGTGTTATGCACACTTGGAGGAGTGTACACAGGCTGCCAGTGCCCAGGCTTGAAGCCCCGCAAGGACTCACGTTTGCTCCAGTTTTCCAGTTTACTTTTAGAATTTCAAATATCGGAGTTCAAACGCACACCCCGCAGTGAGCAGCTCCAGCCCTGCAACGCGCCGGTCAGTGTACACTTGGGCGCATCTGTGTGTGCGCACACGCGGGAGCCGTGGTCCCTGGTGCGGCCTCTTGTCGCAGCGCTGGTGGCGACCCTTGCGGTGCTTGGAAGGCTTCGAGAGAGGCACATGAAGGATTTCATTGAGTGTGAAGACAGAGAGCAGAGACAGAAAGCAGAAGGAGGCGGCTGCAGCCTTTGTAGTCGCGGAGGAATGCGGAAATGTTGAAGCACTATGTCAAACTTTTTGAAATGGGGTCAAGTCACATTCAGCCAGCGTGGGAAAGCAACAACAACAACAAAAAAAAAGTGGAGGAGGGGGGGGGAAAGGCACTGCTGCTCCCGTTTCTCTCCGCCGGAGCCGACGGTCCGGAGAGCAAAGGGGGGGGTGGGGAGCCAGGGCGGGCGGTGCGGAGCCGGGCGGGGGCAGCGGGCGCAGTTCCCTGCGGGGGTGGGACGTCCGCGACGCTTCCTTCGCTGCAGAGCCTGGGACTGGAGGGGCGGAGATGGGGGGGGTGGGACACGGGAGGGCGGGCTGCGCAGCCGGCGGTGGCTCCTCCGCTACCTGTGTGGCCCTCGGCCTGGCTCAGATCCCCGGGCAAACTCTGGGGGCTCGTTCCTCGGCTCCCCCAGGATTCTCCTTCCCCCTTTTAGGAGAGTTATGAATGGATTGAGTGTGAAAGGCTCCATTCTCGCTGCGGTCCCCTCGGCCCACACGTCGTGGGGGTCATGCCATTTGTTTCTTTAATTCCTGGAAGAAGGCGAGCAGGCCAGTGGTGCGGGGCAGGTAATTCCGAGGTGGCTCGGGAATTCCGGACACGCGGCTGGTGCGGCAAATATCCTGCCGAGGCCGCAGTAGCCACGGGTTGGAGGTTGCCTGGGCACTGGATTGCAAATGAATGGGGAGGGAAGGTGACCGCCGCCCCCCCCCCCCACACACACACACACACACCACCACCCCGCACTTTGTTGTGCGGAGGGCTCCGGGGGGAGACTGGCTGCAGAAGGCATCAGGCCTTAAGCCGAAAGGGGAATGATAACCCCTGTTGCTACCTACATCGGAGATGATCCTGGGAATAGGGAAAAGTTCGCGAGTACGGGCCGCGAGAGTGGAGCCTCTTCTCTCTTACCCCTGGAGGCTCAGCATTAACTCCCCCCATCCCTACCCTTTTTCATGGGGAGATTGAATTTTACTCAGGTGGGAATCGGTTGGACATTTCAGGGCGGGTCACAAATGTTACTTTCCTCTTGAAGTTATTCTTTAAAGAGACACCCTTTCCCCCACACTTAGGGTCCCGTGGGTGACTCCCTCAACCCAGGACCCCAACACGCACCAACCCTCGAGTAGCGAGAATCTCAGCTCTCCTGGACCTAATGGGTTTCCACCAGGGAGGTCCTCCGCGTCGGCGAAGGAAGAATGCCATTTCCAACCCAGACTCCTTTACCCCCAAAAAGACCATTTGTGATGCAAGTCATTTTTAAACGTCTCCTAGTAGAAAAAATGAAAGTAGAAAGAAAGGAAGCAATTTTCGAGCAGATGTCTGACCACCCCTTCTCGCATACTCCCAAGCATCGGGTTACAGGGTCCTGGGAGCCCACACCCACAGTCTGCGGCCCCACACGGGTGGACTCACAGTCCCTCCAAAGCAGCTTATGCACGACCCCTGAACGTCCAACGACACCCTGGCGCCCCTCTCCCTGCGCGTTCCTGCAGGAAGGGTAGCAACGCAACACAATGATATAGGGATAAATATTAAGCCGTGACATTGACGTGCCCGGCGCCTCCCCTCCCCCGCGCTCCCGGCACACTCTGGGCTGCTCGGCACGCCCCCTCCGGTTCCACTGCGTCCCGCGCCGCGCGCTGCGCTCATCCCCGAGGGGCCCCTGCAACCTCTCGGCTCGAAGACAGTTCCAGCCCTACAGGGAGAGAAAAGTAACTTCGCTTTTCTCGGAGGAACCAGGAAGGATTAATCGGCCTGGGAGAAGGCAGGAGCGCGTGGAGGGTAGCGACGGGAGCTTCGTGAAGGAGGAGGAGGGGAGTCTGCAGGAACCCCAAGGAAGGCGCCTGGGATGTCTGATTGCATTTTCTTCTTGTCCTCCCATCTCCTCTTTTAGGTGGAATGATTGTGGACTGAGACGCGCTCGGGCAGAGACTATGTAATCGGCTCGGTGTCTGTGCAGAGGACTGCGCTCAGGGGAGGGAAGAGGAGGGATCGGCTCTCTCTGCGACTCGGCAGGCGGAGTTTAGCGGCGGTTCCAGAGTTGCGCCCGCCCGCGGGGAGGTCGCTCCATCCAGCCCCGGCAGCCGCGAGAGCCAGAGCGCCAGAGCGCCGGAGCGCGGTAGTCGGCGCGGGTGAGGCAGAGCTAGACCCAGCCCCGGGGCGCGAGGGAGCGGGTCGAGGAGTCCCGGAGGAGGCGAACGGCGGCCGCGGACGAGCCGAGCGCGCCCCCAGCCCGCTCCAGCAGCGCCGCGCCGGGCAGCGTCCGAGCGGTATGGAGAAGGACGGCCTGAGCCGCGCGGACCAGCAGTACGAGTGCGTGGCGGAGATCGGTGAGGGCGCCTATGGGAAGGTGTTCAAGGCCCGGGACCTGAAGAACGGAGGCCGTTTCGTGGCGCTGAAGCGCGTGCGGGTGCAGACAGGCGAAGAGGGTATGCCGCTCTCCACCATCCGCGAGGTGGCGGTGCTGAGGCACCTGGAGACCTTCGAGCACCCCAACGTGGTCAGGTGAGCCGGGGAACTACCCGTGCCGTCGGGGGCCGCGCCTGGAATGTGCCGGGCCAGGGGATCCACTGGCCCAGAAAAGTGCCGGGGAGGAGGGCGGCTGGGGATGCATGGCGCGACCCATTGATCTTACAAAGTGAGAGAAAGTTTTGTCGACTGAGACACAAGCCAGAACCAGTGACCTTGCCAGACAGCGAGCAGAAAGACAAATCAAAATGTGACCTGCGCAGGCTTCCCTTCCTGCCGGCCCTGAAAGGGGGTTCGAGAAGTTCATTGTCTTTTAGGCACAGAACAAGCCAACCTGTGACATGCCCTGCCAGCCCCTGGCCATTGGGGGATTTTTGACAGACCGAGTATAAGTACGAGGTTGCAGGACGCAGTGATAATTAGAAGGAAAATAACTTTACTGGTATAAATAAGGTTTAAAAATGCAGAAACAATATTTTTACCAGTCACACCCACAATTTCTTTTTATTAAGTAATGATAAGCAGGATTCCTGATGGTCTAAGGACCAAAGTGCTGATGCCCATTCTCCAACAGTCGTTTGAAATATTTATTCGAAAAATATTGCTCATCTGTATTAGTTTATGCTTGTGGGCCAGCGTTGTCTTTGGACTACTGCTCCAAAGGGTAGATAGATATCCAAAATATGGAATCTTTAGATTCTAAATTCTAAATTCTGCCTTTGCCTTTTCTGGAGGGTTGTGCAAGCGGATGGGAAGGCAGCAGTTCTTGAAGCCTCTCCTGTGTGGTAACCAGTAGAAAAGTGTGTGTGACTTAGGATAATGGTGTTTTCTCAGTGACCCTGGAATTTCCCCATTGTGTGTTTGACATTGTGTGGTGTTTTCTCTCTTTATTTTCTAAACAGATGCATAGTTGTAAGTCAGAAAGGAATGCACAGAAACTTATACAAATTAGAGTATGATTTTACCTTTGTCAACACGTAAGATAATGTGTTGGAAAAAGGTCTTGGGGTCTTCTTCCTGTTTTCTCATCCATCTAGGGATTCAACTCAACAAATACGTGCCTACTGTGTGTACACTGTGGCTGAAAATATGTAAATAAGGACAGCTAAATATTTTTGTAACAAGTCAAACAATTTAACATTAGTCATCGAAGTGGAAAGACCCAAGACTGACCTTTGAAATACCAACCTCTCTACAGACTCAGGGAGCCCAAGTGTCTACAGAATCGTCCTGGGAGGTTTTAACTTGTCTCCTCTTATCCCAAGCTGGGTGATTTGTGTGGCACTTTGTTCCCAACACAGTTAGACTCTGGCTAGAAGGCAGCAAAGAATCATAAATACATAAATAAAGTAATAAATGGCTATAAAGATAAGGACCCCATTATACCTCCACTTTAACCAGTAAAGCAGAGAGGCACAAAAGATAATGAGAACGGGAGAATAGTGTTTTAGGAAGATGGGATCGTATATAAAAACAATAGGTTACCTTTTGTGTGTGTGTGTGTGTGTGTCTTCTTTGTTGGAAAACCACAAAATTCTTCTTTTGGGGAGTGGAGTCTTTGAGATATTAGAGGGAAAGGGGAGGATACATTTTGCCCCCTGTAACTTAGTTATGTTCCCAGAGGAATGAATCACCTAGTTGTTACCCAAAGGATGAATTCCACTAAAATTTTAGGACCAAAATTCTTGTTTTATTTTTTCTCTTACCTATGGAGAGTATCCAATCAAGGATTATCTTCATGTGTATAAATAAGATGCCACCCTTGCAATGTAGAGGTGTTACAGAGGCACCACTGTGTAACACTATTTTTACAAAGCAGAATCTATTCTTGTAACAGAGGAAGGTTGTTTTTGCCATTGTGCTAGTCAATTTTAACTAATCTGTCTTAATCTCTTGATTTATCCTCCTGAGGTTGTATCTTCAGAGATTTTTAAGTGACCCATGACAGATTTTGTACTGAGAACTTTCAGAAAGCTATACTTATGAATTGAAGACTTGGGTCATTTTCTAAAATTATCTTTACGTGTTAAGTGTTGATAATGACACCTACCTCTTTCAAGTTGTACGGAGAAACTAATATAGTATATATGAGAGCACTTTGTCAATTTAAAAGTGTTTCAAATATCTAAGAAGTATTTGTGTTTAAGCAGATTAGTGGGGACCTTGTCTTGGAGCAAGTTCCCAGTAAGGATCAGTTCACCTGACCTATGTTGTAGAATAAATAATACTCAAACCCAGACATTATAGGCTCTGAAACCAAGAAGCGACTTGAATATAATGAGTCTGTAGTGTGTCAGAAAAGCCTATCAGTCATATGCCATGACATTCAGTGACACTTGAGAAAATTATTGATGATGTCATCCTCACAAGCTACATACACATCTCCTTTCTAGTTTGTTTCCTTCCCCTTTATTTTCTTCTGCCTCTGCTGTGGAGCAATCATTGGCCCCCATGACTTGCTTGGCTAGACTAGGATTCTGGACTTTAGAGGTTGCTGATATTTGCTCAGCTAGGGTCAGGACATCAAGGACAGGTGACAACAATTCTTTTCCTTCCAGGGGAGAGTTGTCACAGTTGAGCCCCCAAACCTGTGATTTATTGTTGCCCCACAGGATTGTTGCCTGGTCTTTAAAGTTTTTTTTAAAAGGGCAGATGCCTTTTTAAGTGCCTTCAAGTCATAAGTCATTGATCATAATTATAGGCCCTTCCCACAGATAGTTAAGCCTCTAAGCTTGAAGGAGCATAATAAACATATTTGTTGTTTTCAAAAGTTTAAGGTTTAATTTTGATGGATTTGCCAGAAAAGCTGCCTTGTTATTGCTGGCACTGGCACTGCCTACATGCACAGGGGTAATGACTTGAAATTCTTTCTTAACTGCAGGTGATGTAGCCCAGGCTTGATCAGTGTCTGGGATGTAAATTTACTCTTACTTTACAGTTGCCAATCCCAAATCCTAGAGCCTTTGCCAGAATCAGACTTCAGTATGAACCTATATTGCAGCTTTGCACTCTACAAATGAATTCTGTTTTACACTCTGAACTAAATATATATATATAGATAAAATAACATGTTTTATCAGCAATCTATTCATTCATCAAATTTAAAAAAAAATTTTTTCCTTTATTGATTTTAGAGAGAGGAAGGGAGAGGGAGAGAGAGATAGAAACATTTATGAGAGAGAATATCGATTGGCCACCTCCTGCATGCCCCCACTGAAGATTGGGCCCACAACCTGGGCATGTGCCCTGACTGGGAATCCAGCGACCTCTTGGTGCATGAGTCGACGCTCAACCAGTGAGCCACACTGGCCTGGCCATTCATCAAATATTTATTGAGGGCCTACTATGTGCCAGATTCTGCTTGAAGCTGGGGATACAGCAGTGAACAAGTCAGAAAAAGTCTACACTTCTAGAACTTAACTTGTAATGGGATGTGAAGTTCTTTTTTCTTTTTAAAACATCACTTATCGCCCTGGTCGATTTGGCTCAGTGGTTAGAGCATCAGCCCCCAGACCAGAGAGTGCCGGGTTTAGTTCCCACTAAGGGCACGTACCTCAGTTGTGGTTTGTCCCTGGCCCCAGTTGGGGTCTATGGGTAGCAACAAGTTGATGTGTCTCACTCACGTCAATGTTCCTCTCTCTCTCTTCCTCCCTCTCTCCCTCCCCTTCTATCTGAAGATAAATGCAAAAATGTCCTCAGGTGAGGATTAAAATAAATAAATAAAAAACATCACTTACCTTTATTTCCTTTGGCTTACTTTGCTATATTTAACCTAAATAGTTTTATAGAGCAATTAATTTTTGTGATAATTTGGTTATCAAGAGTTTACTGATTGAATTGATAAGATAACCAAAACACTAATCAGAATCAGATGCTTTTTGAAGATTAAATTTCACCTTAGAGACATGCAAATAGATCTATTTAAGAAGACATTGGCACATAACTAATATATATGATGAACATTTGAGCTCTATTTATTCAAAAAGGATTTAGGAAGAACCTACTGTTTAAAAACCATGGGGCTCAGTGCTGGGAAAGATACATGGGTACATCATACCTGGTTCCTTTCCTCCAGTAATTTCCCTGTGTCTGAAGGAAGAAGGTGATCACCATAATCCTGATACATGATAGTATTATGTCATTGCAAAGATCCTGGTAAGTGCTACCAGTGTTGTTCTTAGGGATCAAATTTGTTAGTGAAGCAGTAAAAGTAATTCAAATTCGAGCACGGGTTCCAGAAACTAAAACCCATGGCGTTTCAGTGAATAAACTTGGGATGTCTAAATATGTTCAATTATTTTTATTAGCATATTTAATCATTGCTTTAAAAAAAGCCAACAGAGGAACCTCTCTTGCATGTGGGTTTTTGACTCTCTCACGTATGCGGGGCTCCCATACCTATGTATATATTAAATTTGATTATTTCTCTCTTGTTAAAAAGAAGTAAATAAACAAGCAAGCCAACAGAAAAATCCACGCAGCTCAATGATTATTATTCAAGGGGAGTTTTCCAAGTTTCTCTCTTTTTTTTTTAATCCTCACCCGAGGATACTTTTTTTTATCCTCACCCAAGGACATTTTTTTGCATTTATCTTCAGATAGAGTGGGAGGGAAGGAAGGAGGGAGGGAGGGAGGGAGGGAGGGAGGGAGAGAGAGAGAGAGAGAGAGAGAGAGAGAGAGAAACATTGATGTGAGAGAGACACATCGAGTGGTTGCCACCCATACTACCCCAACTGGGGCCGGGGACAAACTGCAACCGAGATACATGCCCCTAGCAGGAACTGAACCAGGGCCTCTCTGATCTGCGGGCCGATGCTCTAACCACTGAACCAAACCGGCCAGGGCCCAAGTATACTTTTTTTCATCTATCTTCAGATAGAGTGGGAGCGAGGAAGGGAGAGAGAGAAACACCGATGTGAGAGAGACACATCGACTGGTTGCCTCCTGCAAGACCCGGTCCAGAGCTGAGGACCAAATCGCAACCAAGGTATGTGCCCTTGACCAGAATCTAACCCACAACTCTTTGGTCTGCAGAC